GGCCCGGAGGGAGACGGGGCTCGGTGCCTGGGTGTTTGCGGCCCTGGACAGGGGAGGTGGGGAGTCCCGAGCCCCATGCCTCACCCTGCTGCGTCATCGCCCATAGCCAGCCCGGGAGGCAACGCCGTCTTAGGGCCGGGGACATGGAGGTTCTGACCCAAGCACTTCCCCTTATGTTACCGTTTTCTGACAGGAAGAGGTCTCCCTTTTTTGGTTGGGCGAGCACTTCTGTCCCGCCATTCCCCATGACTTTCAAGGCTCTGCATGACCTGGCCCCAGTCTACCTCGCCCACTCACCCGTCCCCTGTAGAGCCCCACTGGCCTGTTCTCAGTTCCTCTAATTCGCCTCTCCCCCCATCCCTTTACTCATCCTTATGTCCGAGTTGAGATGACACTCAGAGGCCCTCCACTCACTCCATTGTTCTCCTTCCCACTATTTTTTCCTTCACAGCATCCATCGCAACTTGTGATTACATATTTACATATTACATGGAAATACACATTTATGATTTTAATGGCTGCCTCACTCACTAGACTACATGCTCCAAGCGGCCAGAGACTGTGTTGGTATTCCCATATTCTTCATCCCAGCATAGGCCTGACCTAACAGGGCCCTCAAACATGTGTGGAATGTGAGGAAAAAAAAAAAGCCACAGCTCCCTGTGTCACCCTCCCTAGGCTAGCCCCTCCTCCCAGACTCCTCCAGATGGCAACCTCCAAGGCAGTGGTGAGGACTCCCACCTGTGTCTTCTTATTTCAATCTCTCTTCCTCCATCCCTCTGCATTTCCACAGAAAGGACAAGGGTCTGTGCTGGACAGAGGACTGAGGATTGTTAGCCCTCCTACCCTACCTAGCAAGGTCCTACCCTGCTAAGGTAAGAATTTCCTTCTTTCTGCCTCTCCCACAAGGACACAGGGCAGACTTGTCTAAAAATCTCCAATGCACACAGACATGCATTCGCACAAAACAACTCTGGTGGGGGAAACTTTTTAAAAGTCTTGCAGTTTTAGTGTCATGTTATTGAAACTTCCCCTTCCCCAAAGGCTCAGTCCAGGGCCTTCTGTGTCAAGTCTTTAAACAACAGTTCTCAATAGCAGTGAGATGGAAGCCCTCAGGGCCCTGCTCGCTCATATTGCAGTTTCTCTCTTTACTCAGGAGAGTCCTTGTTTTCTTACTTGTTGGCAGTTTTAGGGTGACCCAACGTGGGTAGAAACAAGAGTCACTGCCATCTTCCAGAGAGGTAAACAGGCTTCACCCAGGATACGTGGGGCTTTGGAGGGGCGGGAGGGGGTACGTTCTTCCAAGAATCTCTGTCCACCTGGGAAGCTCTTCCTTCCAGACTGGCTTGTCCTCACTTGTGATCCCTCCTCTCAGCTCAGGACTGTGCTGGCAGCAGCAGTCCCCAGGACTCCAGAAGCACACATTGCCTGGGCCCAAACTGCACAACTGTGGCTCCAGCTTCCAGATGGGAAGATGGGAAGCCTCAGGGGCCCCAGACCCTGCCCTGGCTTCAGTCGGCACACATCAGTGGCTTTCCAGAGATCTTTAGGTCATCGAAGGGCAAAAGAGTAAAGGGCTGAGAAAGAGAATGGAGAGAAGCAAGGTCAGGGTACAGGGGGAAAAGGCAGCAGTGAGGGAAGGGAGCTGGGGAGGCCTATGGACCATTTTCTCCTCATCAACTGACAGTTGGACATTAGCGAACAAGTCTTCCTACTAATCTCCCAAGTGGTGACCCTCTGGGCTGGCAAGAGCCCTGAGGCCTTAGGCAAGTCCTCACTCTCTAAGAAAATCCCTGAATGTCACAGATGAGAAGGACCGAGGAGGTGATCCAGCCCACAGGTCTGGTTTTTGGGGGTTGGGGTTAGGGGGAGGGTAGCCACCAAGTATTTTGATTATTTTTTACATTGAACATTTAAAAACGGGAGACTATACAGAACATCTAGGTTTTATCTCTCTTAAAATATTCCCAAGACTTGGAAATACTGGGCCTATATTCCTTCTCTGCAATTATGTGCTAAACCTGAATAGAGTGACCCTCGGGCAGACTCTCTGGTCTCCCAGGGGCCCCACCACCCCACTGTCTTACATCTGGTCTGCTTCACTGATCCACTTTAGCTGCAGGGCTCCTGTAGGAGTCCAAGTTTGGGCCCCCCTGACCATGGCCAACTAAGAAAACAGGCTGAGAGAGGGGCAGAAGCTTGCCCAAAGTGCCACAATTGGTGAGTGGCAGAATTATGGATTGCTCCCCAGGATCCTAATTCCTTGGGCCTTTCAGCCATTACGGCTCCTGTCTCTGCTATGGGTGAGGGAAGGCCTGGAGAGCAGAGCTGAGGGTGTGCCTCTTACATCCTCAGCCAGGTCCTGGGGTGTCACATCCTCAGCCAGGTCCTGAGGCGTCTCATCCTCCACGTTACGCAGCAGGGAGTCAGCACCCGCCTCGCGCAGAGTGGATGAGATGCTCTTGAGGCCCCGGCCTGCAGCAAGGTGCAGGGGTGTGCACCCGTTGAGCATACGGGCATCTACCCGGGCCCCAGCCTGGAGCAGGAACTGCACCAGACTCCGCTCCTGGGTCTCCACAGCCAGATGCAGCGCTGTCTTCCCACTCGTGCCCTCCTGGAGGGGAATAAAGATGTCAGCCAAGGCCCTGAAGAGGAAGCATGCGGGGTCCAGGCACAGGTGAGGGCTACCACTTTTGACACAGGGAGTGGACCTGGGGGCTAGACCAGGTGGTGGGGCAGACCCTGGGCCGGGCAGCACCCTGACTGGCCACCTCACCTGCACGTCAATGTCAGCTCCGTTTTCAAGAAGCAGTTCCATGAGTGGCTGGTTCCTCTGCAGAGTGGCGATGTGGAGACAGGCCAGACCTAGGATGGGGTGAACGTGGGGGCTGCTAATCTGCATCCACCAACTCTGTCTCTCCCAATCTTCAGGGACCTCCCTACCCCTCTGCCCCAAGGGACCCACTGCCCACTCAATACCTCTGATCACAGAGCTGTTAAAACACAAACCCAAAAACCCCCTCAAAAGTCTGAGGGGAAAGGAAAGCAAAGTTTCCACCTTTTCAGAGTCATGTTATTGAAACTTTCATGCTTCAGGGGTCAGGTTGCTGAGTGACACCCCCTACACACGAACCCTCCCCCAATTTCCCCCCTCCCCATTCTCTTTAACTCTAACTTTGCCTGCCTTCAAGCCCTGGCCAAAGCCAACTTATTCAGAGGTCTCTGGGATCCTCATGCCCCCAGCCCCTCCCCAGGGCCCCTTCCTCCCATGTGTTCCCCTAGCCTTTTTGCTGTCTCCTTTCTGGCCTGGATTCCCCTCTGCTTAGAGAACTAGATGCAGATTCACATGCCTCCCCTCCCTCAAAATTCTGCTCAAATGTCCCTGCTCCATGAGGCTTTCCCTGACCACTGTTTAATCACATGAAATCACACAGCCCATCCCCCACATTCCAGTTCTCACTCTGCTCTACTTTCCCGCAGCACTTACTGCCTTTTAACCTACTAGAGAACCCACTTATATTTATTGTCTTTCTGTCGTTCTCGGTTTTGTTCACAGATTTAGGCCCAGCTCCTAGAATAGTGTCTGGCACATAGAGGCCCTCAGTACATTTTTGTTGAATGAATTTATGATCTCTGTTAAACTGAATAGCTTGAGGGCAAGGTTTAGCTCTGTTTAGCACACAGCAGGTTCTAAGAAAATTCTAAATCAAATTCATTCACTCATTCATTCAGCAAAGATGTACTGAGTATCTATGTGCTTAGAACTGGAGGTGCATCAATTGACAAGCTATCACCCCCCTTTCCTGAGAGTGGGATCCCTGTCTCTTGTCCCCTCCTCATCCTACATGCCCTGCGGCTGCCTGTACCTTGCCAATTTTGCAGCTGGAGGTCCAGGGAGTGAGGTGGTCCTCTGCCTCGCTCTAGCTGTCCCTCTAGCAGGCAGCGGGCACAGGCTAGGTGCTGGCGCTGGCAGGCCACATGCAGGGCTGTGTCACCATGTCGGTCCTGTAGCATGCGACTGGCCCCCTTTAGCACTAGGGCCCGAACTGTACCTGGCTGGTCCAGATGTACAGCCAGATGGAGTGCTGTCTGTAGGCACAAACAGAGGGTCACAGGGCCACTGCAGCACACTCCCATGTCTGGGGACATGCTGAGGTGGCCACAGGAATTGACAACTGCCAGCACCTTCCTTGAGGGCAGCTTATAGAGGCTATGGCCCTGGTCTTCCAAGGCCACACTACCAAGCCCTTCCCTCTGTCAATCCCCACCAAGCTCTTGAGACCCAGCTCTGGAGGCAGGGTGAGGGAGGTGGCCCCCTGCTCTTCTTGTAGGTCCCCTTAGCCCCTGGAGAAAGGACAGATGGGGACAGGGTCTACCTTCTCATCCTCTAGGGAGACCTCTTATCCCCAAGGGCTAGGTGACAGAGAGGGGCTGGAGAGAAGAAAGACAGAGGCACCAGGCAGTCTACACCTAGCACACTCCTCTTTAAGGCTCCATGCAGATGTCACCTCCTGTATTAACCCTTCCCTGGCTGTTCCCCACAGATACTGGATCCCACAGCAGCTGGTATGTGCCTCCATCACAACTCTTGTCACCATGCTGTGTAATTAGATGTTGACACTAGTCCCTAGCCCAGGCTCAAGCACCTTGTGGGCAGAGGCTGTGTCTTACTTATGTCTGTATCCTCAGCTTCTAGCTCAGTGTCTGGCATACAGTTTCCTGAGGAAGCAACCTAAGGTCACTTGTGTGGCTGCTTGGGATGGCTGCCAGGGAAGATATGGGTATCTGGGCACAGCCCACCCTTTCCACCCACCTGATAAAGGTTGTTCTGAATGTCGAGGACCTCCTGGGGCAGCAAATTCAGGCAATAGAGCAGCACAGCTGGAGCCTCGTGAATCACAGCCAGGTGGACCAGCCTAGAGGGCAGGGGCAGGGTTTAGTGTCAGGGCCCAGGTCAGAGAGAGTGGGCTGGGGTCCTGGGGTTAGAAGTAACACAGCTCTAAGAAGCCACCTATTAGGTAGGTACAGGAAGTGAGAGTTTGGGCCAGGAAGTGAGGGTTGGTGTGGGAAGCCAGGATCCCTGGGGGTGGAGACTCCAAGTTCCCATCTCTGGCCTTCAAGGAGGGCCTTGGCTCAGTGGGAGTGTGGGCAGGGTGCTGATGGGCCAAGGAGCTTCCTGTCCCACACCCCACTCCCCTCTGGCCCTAGGGCCCCACCAGACCAGCTGTAACTCCAAAGCCAAACTGAAAGCTGCCGGGGTAGTGTAGAGGTGGTTTACAGGGCTGAGCTCCCCACTTACTGCCACCCCAATAGAGCAGAGGGCAGGAGTGGGGTCACCCCCCAAAAATACCTCAATGTTGCACAAGCCAAGGGGGAGAAAACAGAAGCTCTTGGATTAGGAGCAAGGAGGAGTGCAACGACCTGTCCTGCTGTCCCCGACAGGGAAGTGAATCAAGAGGGCCACTCCAGCCCTAGAGGATTTGGTTCAGTGGTTAGAGCATTGGCCTGCAGACTGAAGGGTCCCGGGTTTGATTCAGGCCAAGGGCATGTACCTCGGTTGCAGGCTCGATCCCCGGTTGGGACTCGTGCAGGAGGCAACCAATCAGTGTGTCTCTGTCACACCGATGTTTCTCTCTCTCTCCCTTCCACTGTCTCTGAAAAGCAATGGGAAAAATATCCTCCAGTGAGGATTAAAAAATAAATTAAAAAAGAGGGCCACTCTTCAGACAGCAAGAGTGGGTCTGGCCAGAGCCCTCCACTGTGTGCACCACCAAGGCAAGGTCTGTGCAGCACAGAAAAAGTGTGTTTGTTGGGGGACAAAGAGCGTTAACCTAGGGGTGGGAGGGCAGCTGGGAGGGGAAGTTCCAGTCCTGGGGTTTCCCCACATCAGGTGGGGAAAATGAAAGCCAGAGCAGGAGGGTCTAGGCCAGGCCAGATGCCTTGGGGCATTACTGACTGGGGTAGCTTGGCTAAAAGGCCTATCTGGGCTGGGGAGGGGGCTGCTCAGGCAGGAGCGGGGCAGGCTGGCAGCAGGCAGCAGGAGAGAGTGACGGAGGGAGGGAGGAACCACTCTGGAAATCCCCTCGGCCAGGACCAGCTCTCTGGGTCACATTCCTGCAGCCACCTCCCTCTCTCCCTCAGTCTCCCCTCCTCCCACTTCCTCTTCCCACTTCCATATGTCCCACAGCCCAGACACTTCCGAGGGAAGGGACCCCCTGGGGAGTCTTGACACCTCCCCCTGCCCATTCTAGACACACCTGTCTCTAACCAGAGGTGGTAAAAGCTGGGCTGAGAGGCTAACAAAGGAGGGCAGCACCAGAAGTCCCCACTCCTTGGGTCAAAGGTCAGCCATAGGTATCCACCTGGAGCTCCCACTCTTTGGGTCGAAGGTCAGTCATAAGCATTTCACATGGAGCCTCCAAAATCTTGGTTCTGGGCCTGAGGGCTAGTGATCTGGGCACAGAGTACACAGAGTACAAAAGGCCTGGGGTCACTCCTTTTCTGCCCACTGGGTCTCTTTGTCAAAGGTCACCCAGGATTATGACCCTTTGCATTTCCAAAAAAGCAGGTCAGGACAGACATTTCCTGCCCCTTCTACATCCCCCCTACCTTGTTCAACATCCCTTTTCTGGGACTCCAGCTCCCTCCACTCTGTTTCTCACACCCAAATCCCAACCACCCCCTCTCCTAACAGTGTTTTTTCTTCCTAAGGGGCAAATCCTCAGCTGGCCGGACCTTCTGCACTACTGCTTCTTACTTCAACTGCTTCCTAGCCCAGTCCCCACCAAGCTCTGCCTGGGCCTGGGGAGAAATTGTAAAGTAAGGTGGTCAGAAAGGACAGTGAGGAGGACTGGGGGGGCTTGGGAGATAGAAGGTGTTGGTAAGGCTGACTCCAACCCTCACTTCCCCTTTCTCAGCAGAGCAGGAAGTAAGCTGGGGCAGCCAGCCGCCTGTCAGCCTGTCAGTCTGCAGGAACAAGAGTGCCCCAACCTGGCTCACCCCTCCTCCTCAGGGCCAGCCTCAGCTCTGCACCGTGGCAATACCCCAACCCCTAGCTTCCTGGCCTCCACTGACAATCTGTAACTGGCACCTCTTGTTCCTTGAGACAGGGCTTTCTGAGGTCAGGGGCCGGGAATTCCAGATATTGCGCAAGCAAGGACGCCCTCTCCCCCAGCAAGAAAGAAGAAGAAGAAAAAAAAAAACTGGACTGGTCAGGGGAATTTTATTTTCCTAGTGGTGGGTTATTGCTAGGTTTCCAAGATGGTAACTGGGGTTCCAGGTGCCTGATAAGGGCCCTGCATGCTCTGCCTACCTCCAAAAGGGTGGGCAGAGAGATGATTCCAGGTCCTCTGGTCTGGGCCTGTCTAGAGCTCAAAAGTGGGCTGAGAGTTAAGTTTGGAGTTTGAAACAGAGAGTGGAGAATGCCGCTTCCAGGGCAGGTGCCTTGAGGGATCATCACCGAGGGGGGCCCGGCCTGCTGCTGCTCCTGGGGAGGCCCCAGTGCGGGAAGGAATGCGTCCCAGCCTAGCCCCCATACTCACGTGTCTCCGTCCTCAGAGATGTAAGTGAGTGCTTCCAGCTGCTGAGGACTCAGCGGCCCAGCTGGGGGAAGCGGCGAGCCTGGGGACGGGTTTTCGGTCTCAGGACTCCCCCAAAAGGTCAAAGGCTCGGTGAGCGACGAGGAGCCATAGGTGGAGTCCGCCCTCTCCCCGTCGGCGTCTTCCTTCTCCGGCGGCTCTTTGGCGGTTCCCGGAGGATGGGTCCAGGACTGGGGGCCTCTGCCGCCAGGGGGCCCGGAGGCTGAGGTCGGGGTGGTCTCGGGCAGGGAGCGCAGAGAGCGCAGAGACTCGATGCCCGAATCATACTGGTTCTCGTCCGACTCGTCGGTCCCCTTGCGCGCCTCCGACATGCCCGCGGCGCCAGCCCGCGGGGGCCCAGCCCAGGCAGGATCCGGCTCCGGGCTCCGCCGCACCGCCTTTCCGGGTTCCAGGTCCGTCTTGGGGAACGGGCTCCCGGCCCGGAACGGCCTCCTTCGCGGGCTGCTGGGGTCCGAGGAGTCAGCGAGGAGCGTGGGAGAGGCGCGGAGCGCTGGAGGGTCCGCCGCCGGGGTTGCTCGGGGAAGCCGGGATGCCCGGTCTGACGCGCGCTCGG